ATGTATGTGTCTATGTACCTATCAAATAATATATCTCAGAACAACAGAGCCACATGCCATTCCCCTCTCCTCACCATCACACAGAAAGAATCATTTGATTTTACAGAGACCTTGCCACAGACACCAAGTTCTCTAAATCTGCTAGGAACTCCAAAGCTCATTGTAAACTTTTTGCATAAGAGGTGCCAGATTCAACACTTCATGAATATGTAAACTTATTTTTGGAAGCGTGTATTTTTCTAAATCTAACTTAAATTCAAAGAAATATTAATGAAATTAAAGCTATAGCAATCACCTTTGGGACATCATCAGAATATCAAGCCATTGTGCCTGTAGCCCTTTGGTATGTCAGGAAGAAATCAAAACAGTGCCATGATTTTACATAAAAAATTTGACCAACCAACATACTACATCAATCATCTTATAATGTTTTCTATAGGTGCAGAGGAGGATCTTCCCTGATTACTAATTTTTTTAAAAAAGAAAAGAAACAAGTAAAACACAAGTACCAATCCACCAGCTTCCTGAGCTGATGCCATAAAAGTGACCAGGAGAATTCCTCATTTCCCATTACACTCAGTTTTTTCAAACACCTCCAATGTATCTTGCATTTAACTCTCAGGAATGCAGCCCCCTAGTTTCCCAGAGGGAAGTCTTTTACTAGAAGATCAGGAAGCACAAATTCACCACTTCTCTACTGCTCTTTGGAACTGCCTTAGCCCATCTGTCTCAATTAAATAGAACATGACGACCATGAGGCCAAGAAACAGGGATGTCAATGCCTATATACTAGTACCTATGCAGAGATACTGCTCACAAATATAGGCATTCTGTGCAGGTGTCTTTTGAGGGTCCTAGGGAAATGGAGATGTGTAAAAATCTTCCACCAATGCCAATTAAAACACAGCTCAAATTTCATGCCCTACTTTATTTTGTACAGTACCTACTGGGACCCCAGTAGAACTTTTCAGAAATATTAGAATAGAGAGCTCCCTTTCCTGGCTCTGGGAGAACATGTGGGAGGATGAAGGGAGAGGCTGTGGAAATGGAGGCCAACTGCACCACTGCTATCAGCATCACCCATCATTCTAGTTTGAGCTGTGTCCTTGTTGGATGTAGCTATGCAAAACAAATGCCAGGAAAGGCTGTGCTGAATTACTTCAATGAGAGAGAAGGACTTCCAAGAACAATTACAGGTCAGTGAAACAACATTTGGGATACCGGAAAAGAAAGCTTGTTTCACTCATTGATCTGTTTAAAAGCAGAGTCCACTTTGATGTGCCAGGCACTATTCTATTCTAAACTGGGATCAAGCATTGAACTTGCCTGATGAGTTACCTGCTCTCATAGCACTTAGATTCTAACAGAGAGAGAAAACAAATGAAAAAATTCTAGACTGGGATAACTATTATGAAGGAAGTTAAAGAGCAATGCTCTCAGAAAGTAAGGAAGGGTAAGAGGCTATTCTAGGTAAAGGGCTTAGGAAGCCAAAAACAAGAAAATGTATGACAGAATTTTAAAAAACCAACAAACTCCAGGAAGGCTCACATCTGAAAAAGAAATAGGGTATAAGTAACATGGGAGATAGAGCATCAGAACCTGGAAGATCATGTTCACACATACTTAAGATTTACTTTCACACAAGACACTGCTGCTATTCTTTCCTTAGTTGTTTTTACAACCTTCAAATTACTTCAGAAACAAAGCAAGAGTAGAAAATGAGATGACTCGATACTAAGTTAAACATTCGAGAAATGACTGGAAATTTCACAGTAACACAAAAATCTGAACAAAAATCTCCAGCTGTAATCTAAAAAGTACTTCCGAGAGCTGTTTCTGATCTTCAGTGAAGACAGATGTGACTAAACCATCTTTGAAAATACTGCTATAACTAGACCTTCTGTTAAACACAGATGTCACACACTTTTCTTGAAATTCACTGTTATGAACTGAACTGTCCCCAAAAGTGATAAGTTGAAGTTTAACCCTCAATACCTCAAAATGCGACCTTATTTAGAAATAGGATCTTTACAGAGGTAATCAAGTTAAAATGAGGCCATTAGGGTGGGCCCTAAATCAATGAAGGACTGGTTTCCTTATAAAAGGAGAATTTGGCACAAAGACAGACACACATATACACAGGGAGAAAGCCATGTGAACATGAAGGTAGAGATAGGGTACTGCGCCTACAAGACAAGACATACTGAAGATTGCTGGCAAACAGAAGCTAGAAAAGAGGCACGACAGACTATCCCTCCCAGCCTCAGAAAGAATCAACCCTTCTAGCACCTTGATTTCAGACTTCCAGCCACCAGAACTGTGATAATTTCTGTTGTTTAAGGCACTCAGTCTGTGGAACTTTGTTTAGGCAGCTCTAGCAAATGAATACACTCACTAACGTAACAGCAAAGAAATATAAAAGGGGTAAACCCACAAGTACAAAGAGAATGGTTACAGAAAAACTATAGGATATGAAAGTCGTCAGGTTTTTGAAAGACAAAAAATGATGAAGAAAAAGAAAAAGACAAGGAAGTGCTCAAACAAAGCCCACGTTAACGGAGGTATGCCAAAAAAAAAAAAAAAAAAAAAAAAAAAGAGAAAGAAAGAAAATACCTAAAAATGAGAACGGTAAGAAAATTTCCCAGAGTCGAAGACACAATTTTCCAAATTGAAAGTTCCCATCAAGTGTCCAGGACAAAGGATGGAGAGGGACTGCACTTTTGTGGGCTCCACCAAAGGCAGTCGGGACAGAAAGATGCCAAAAGACAATGTTAAAGGCTTCGCAATTTCTTTAAGGGCAAAGGATTAAGAAACCTTCAGTGGGCAGAGCTACACAAAACAGATGCACATCATGCTCTCAATCAGAGTTGCAGTATCCCAGTGCTTGGCCACTTCCCAAACACTTCAATGAGAACCCACAGCTGCAGATGATTCTGCTTGTGAGGTGAAGCTTCACCAGACCTGAGAAGCACCCACTATATCAGTGATGGCGAAATTATGACACGCGTGTCAGAGGTGACATGCGAACTCATTTTTTTGGTTGATTTTTCTTTGTTAAATGGCATTTAAATATATAAAATAAATATCAAAAATATAAGTCTTTGTTTAACTATGGTTGCAAATATCAAAAAATTTCTATATGTGACACGGCACCAGAGTTAAGTTAGGGTTTTTCAAAATGCTGACATGCCGAGCTCAAAAGGTTCGCCATCACTGCTCTATACTCTCTCATGTTTTTATGCCCTTCTGACTGACTGAGGCCGGTGACATACCTGCCTTTTAGCCAGGAGCAAGGATACAAAACAAGCCCAGGACTGGAGGTTCACCATGAAGCCAGGTTGAGACGGGCACTTCCCAGGTGTTCCAATCACTCCCTGACCATGAACAGTCCAGGGACCAATACTGAAAATCACAAATGAAGGCAATTCATCAAGAGATGAGAAAATAAGGACAGACTTTTTAAAAAGGTGCTAAAACAAGTAAAAATCTTGAGAAAATGGGAAATGATAGAAAAAGAGAAGTTGAGGGAGAGAGAAACAAATTTAAAAGCTGGGACTTCAAATTATTTTCATTCTAGCATTTCATAGCCAGCCTACCAATCAAGTAGGCTAGAATAAATTTCCAGACCTGTAAGGTGTCTCATAGATATGACCTCCTCTAATCCCTTTCTCAAAAAGCTAGAGGAGGATGTGCCCATCAAAATGAGGAAGCACGCTGAAAGGAATATCTAGTAAACAGGACCAACCCAGGATAAATTACTGGGATTCAGGTGAGGTATTGACTGCACTGGGAATTTTTGTATTAGTTCTGTCAGAAATTGGGGGCCTGAATTTGTGATTGGTACTGAGAAGCATAAGCCAACAAAACAATTACGTCCAGAGAAAACAAAAATTTGAACAGGAAAAGAAATAAAATCATCGCACATGCTTGTCTTGAACAATATTTAGTCATGAAAAAACACTAAATATTGAGAAAATAAAAAGTTATGATACAACTGTATTAGGAAGGTAGAGGGAAATGTGTAAGGAAGGTATTATAAAAGATGAATCCTCATCTTGCATAGTAGGAAATGCATAGAAAATGTCTAAAATTTAAAATCCAGGTTATAGTAGTATAAGCATACAAACATGAACTTAAATCCCACAAGAAACAGGTATGAGTTGATAGAAGTTGCTTCTATTAAGCAGCATCAGCAGTGAGGAAGAGACTGGTGTTTTTCAGAATATACCTCAAAGTACTATTTGAACTTTAAAGCTCTATATAAAAAATAATATACTTAAACATTTTAAAGATAAACAAAACTATTATATGATGCAGCCTTATGAAAGAATCCTATTTACAGAAATGAAAACTATGGAAAAGAAAAAATAAACACCAAATATAAGCACTGTGGGTTTGGTTTTGCTTTTAATTAGGAAAAGCTCTTTTTTAACTCTTGAAATCAGCATCTATGGCCCATTTGAGCTTTAAGTATGTGTAATTAACAGGACAAAACAAACGAACTAGGGAATTTAAGTACAGCCAAATTCCTATAAGTTATCTAGTTCAGCGGTCCGTGAGGTCTAGTTCTAGGTCCGTGAGGTCCGAAAGGTTGGTGACCGCTGATCTAGTTCATTCACTAGAGATAAGAAAATGTCCTAACACAAAAGCCCCTTTCTCTCTTTTTGTAAAAAATATATTTTTATTTATTTCAGAAAGGAAGGGGGAGGGAGAGAAATATAGAAACATCAATGATGAGAGAGAATCACTGATAGGCTGCCTCCCGCATGCCCCACATTGGGGAATGGAGCCTGCAACCTGGGCATGTGCCTTACCAAGAATTGAACCATAACCTCCTGGTGTCGCACTGAATCACTAAGTCATGCCAGCTGGGCCAAAAGCCCTTTTCCATTCTATGGTGAGGATACCAGCAAAAGATTTATTGACCATTCAGAAAATTAAAGAAAAAAAAAAAAGAAGAAAATCACCCACCAGAAAATTAAAGGAAGAAAATCACCCACCTTAATGCATGTATATTAGTGGTTTTCAAATAGAATAAAATTTCATGTAGTTTTATTATCTAGGGAAATTTTTATAAAAATCAGTTATTAGATTTCATAGAAAAATGTTAATTACTTAGCCACTTCATGAACTAGCAAGCAACAGAATTATTCTTTGCAGTTAAGCATTTATCTGTACTATTACAGGGTGGGGCAAAAGTAGTTTACAGCTGTTTGCATGGAAAATAATACAATACTTAAATAATAACACAGGAATAAACTCTGTTTCATGTACTTACAACTTTAAACCTACTTTTGCCCCATCTTGTATATACTACGTATAGAAGACAGCTCTGCTTTCTAAACAAAGATAAGGCTCCACCTACAGGCCTGGACAACAAAATTCAGAGATAAATTTTAAAGGCAAAATTCACAAGGCTTAAATTTAGAAACATGTACTGCATAAAACTTATATACAACATTACTAACTTAAAAAAAGTATATTTTCTATTTTGACACTATAAAAGTAAAAATTCTGGGTCAAAATAGAAATTTTAAGCAAGCACATGAAGCAATCATATTTTTATTCATGACAGAAACACCTTTCAACTAAACATATTCTCATGCTAAAAATATAAGCACAAAAGCTCTCTCCAAGATACCTTCTGTAACTTACACTCAATCACTCATGCAGTACTCTCTTCTTAATCCCTCCCTACAGCAGTTTTATAAAAGTCTACTTTATGTAACAGACTTAATTCCACCTACAAGACTTTCAGCTACTTCAGGGACAAGAGAGATGTTCTAGTCCCTTTTTTCTCCTTTGCCCAGTGCCTTTCCACACTGTCTCATTTAGTTAGAGCTCTTAGCCTACTGCCCTGCCTCTGCATCTAATCCTCAGAATCAACCCATCGGTAGGTATTATTTCCATTTTACAGGTGATACAAGTGAGTAAACTATATACCAAAAATGTACTCATCAATTTGGGAATTCCTAAAAGTTTATGAATGTATTTCTGTATAAGAGGTTTTTCTGTATTGAACAGTTGGTAAATACCAAATCATTTATTCAATTATAGTAAGTAAAACACCATTAAAACTTCATTAGAGAGAATGTATCCACACATGTAGTTACCAAGTGAGTCAAAATAATACAGTGAAGCCTTGGCCAGTTTTGCTCAGTGGTTAGAGTATCAGCCCTGAGACCAAGGGTTTGATTCACAGTCAAGGGCACATACTTGGGTTGCAGGTTTCAATCTCTGCTCTAGGTCAGGGCTTGCGCAGAAGGCAACCAATCGATGTGTCTCTCTCACATCCATGTCTCTCTCTCTCTCCCCACCCCCCCAACCCTCCCACTCTCTCAAAGGAAAAAAAAAAACAAAAAACAATGGAAAAATATCCTTGGGTGAGGATTAAAAAACAAAAAAATAAACTAAAACTCAGATACTCAACAATATAGGGGTTTCAGCTGGCTACCCACAATGTGATGGGACAAGGGTTCCTGAATAGAGTAAGATGCTAGAAGCTCTGTCCAACTAAGAAATGTTGTGACTCAGTACTCCTACACACAGTCCAGTCCCACGTAATCCAGGGATAGAGTAGTTTTCAAATCAGGAATAGTAAAAAAAAAAAATACGAGGGAAAATCCTTGAAGAAGGCATCATATTGAATACTGATATCCCAGTCCAACTGAGTCCACTTCTCCTTCTAAACAGAATCACTTTGCTCTCAAGCTGAGCCCAACAGTAATACTTAGAGTTTTTGATACTCAGTCCCAACTTAGCAGTGATGTGCTTGCATTGTGGAAGGCAGACAGCTTCCCTCTTTCCACAGCAAACACCAAATAGGCCTGGTGGGACTGAATCACCTCTGCTGTTTTCTTGGCTGGTATCTCTCCCTAATACAATTGGATTTGCATACACCAATGATTCAGAGAAATCCAAGGTCCCTATAGAGCTGGCACTAGTCTATCAGCAGTTTATAGATGCTAACATTAACAATAAGTTATCCAGTTCTATCTAATAAAGTCAAAACAACACCCTGAAATTGATTTATGCAAGTCACATACTTCTCATAGTCCTTGGGCAATGTGGTGGCATAGCGGCACTGGCATTGGGTCACCACCACCATATGGTTGTGTGCCTTTGGCAAATCTCATTCAGCTTCAGTGTCTTCACCTAGAAAATGAGGCTAATATATCTACCTTGCAGGGTTGTTTTAACTCTTAAAGAGATGATATGTAAAGCACAACACCTAGCCAGATGATGTTCAGTCATGTAACTGTAATAATATGACAATCTTTTGCAAACATGCAACATCTTCTAGAAACATTTAGTGATCCTAAAAAGTAGGCATCAGACCCTTTTAAAGACTAAGAGTCTCTATGATGGAGTAAATAGGTACTTAATATTCATCCAAAAAAAAAAGTTGAGATTTTAAAGAAATATAACATGTGGACACTTTGGGATTTTTACAAAGAAATATAATTACACTTAGCATCCCAAAGGAAGCAAAAAGTATATTCCTTATGGTTCTTCAGTAAACCCAAGTATTCCTTGACTTACATTGGTTCAGAAGAAAGGCACATCACTTTACGAGGGCCAACAATTTACAGACTCAACTCCTGGGGAAAGTACCATACCAGAATTCAAAGAACACTAATCCAGAGTTCTTAATTCACATTGACTATCTGATGGTTTTACTGTCTTATTACAATACAGAATCATATAATCAAATTATCAGATGTCTTTATATTAAATAGATTATGGCCAAATACCTTTTAAGGGCTATTCTGGACACTCCTCTTTTAGAATGAGTTAAACACCAAGTCTCTAGTACAGCTGGACACACCTATTCTGCTGGGAGCAGTAAGTGCCACATCATAATGCACTGAATAGATTAGAACCATCCTGACCATTATACAATTCTGCTGTTTATTCAAAGGAATAAAAAAGTCTCTTAGGTAGATTTCAATTCCAGATTAACCAATGAACTTTTTGTTTATAATTATGATAGTTTCTGTGTAAAAGAAAGCATCTTTACTATAGATTTAAATCAAGTATCTTTCCCATCATATTTCAAAAGTAGGTAAATGCAGAAAGCCAGTTACTAAAGAAGTTATTTGTTACCATTTGCCTTTTTTCTTGCAGTAAAATCACTAGTTCCAACTTTAGAATTTCTGAAGGATGCTTTCCCTATCATCAGCTTTTCCTCTTTTCCTAATTACTTAGTTATAGCCACTAAATAATTTTTAAACCTACATCCTGGCACCTCTTTTGAAATACTAGTTTTTAACAACCATGTTTCCTTAATCTTTTCAAATCCACGTCCCTTTACACCCCCTACAATGTTACTTAAAATTTCAACTAAATTAACAAGTGACCACAAAAATTAAAAATCAAAACAATGGGAGAGTGCACACCAGACCTTCAAAAAGTTTCCAATGCACTGAAAATAACAGGGCTTATAGCTCAACTACTCCAGCTTACTGCATTTGAGCTCTTTCTGTACAACCTATGAAGATTCATCATTTCCTCTTTCCCCTTCACAACTACTTTTAAAAATCAACAGATCCTGTCCCTATGACCATATTTCAAAGGTGCCCATGTTTAAACATTCCTTCCTTCCCTCCTCAAATCCTACTTATTTTACTAGAATCAGACAAACCTTCAAGGCCAGCTTCTTACTACTCCCATTTGACTCTCTCCCCTACTCTTTGCTCAGTTTATAGAAAGCAAAGGAGGCAAAATGACCAGGCAAGTGCCTGAAAATTAAGGAGACAGTAGTTATTTACTCTAATATCGATTAACAGCTAGAGGAAAGTCATAGATGACTTGAGAGCAAACACAAAGTAATAGAGAGAACACTGAAAAACATAATACGTATCAACACATGTAAAGAGGTGAGAGTCCTACTTCTGAAGGTAATCAAGGAAAGTGAGTACTCAAGAAAATTAAATGTTTGGGACAGGTGCAGATGGTGGGCAGAAAACTAATTGAGAGAACTGAGATGAGGAATTTAGAGTTGCTAAACCAGGTGAGAACGAATCATTGTAGAGTCTTGAATAGGAAAGATAAAAAGATCTAGGAATTGAAAAGAACTTAGAATTTATAAATCACTTTAAATTGTATTTATACTTTGCCTGGTTGAAAAAAATAATTTGATGTAGCTCAGACAAATATGAGAAAACAATAAATTAAGATAAGAGAATTAGACAAAAATAAGGATATAAAATGAAACAAAGGCAATATAGATGCAGTTACTGTTCATAAGATTAGAGAAGTACAGATTTTCTAAACCATTCAAATATGCCAAAAAGTGAGATAAAGGCAATGTATCAGCTACCTGAACATCACAAGGTGTGTTTTTCTGTGAGCTAGTGTTTCTCCTCCAAAACAGTAGAAAAGCCTATTTTGGATAGCTCATGTTCAAAATATGACACTAAAGAGAGATGTAAATACCACATAATAAAGTTCTAAATTCAAAGATTACAAAAATAGGTACCACATTCTAAATGGATTTTTAAAAGACCACAATTTCTAGGAGCTCCCCCTTCACTTTTCTAATGCATTCGTGTAGTCTCTCAAATTATACAGCTGACCTAAATAATCTAAAAGATCCCACTTCTAACAATCATACCTCCTTGCCTTTCAGCCATACTCTCTCTGTACAGGGGTGAAATGAAGGCAGGAAAAGGAGCTGATGCTGTAATTGTTTTGTTACGCTTTACAAGAAAAATGATTTCTGGCTCCTTTCTTCCTCATTTCTCAGTAACAATTTTTACACCAATCTAAAATGACAAATAGGATCACTGAAATATTGTACTCAGAGGCTTTAGAATAAAAAGAATCTAAACAGTCAGTGAATCTAGGGGAAAAAATGTATACTTTATCATCATTCTAATTCTAGAAGTCGCATTAAAGGCTTTATCTTGCATTGCAGCAGTTTATATCCTAACGAATTCTTTTTTTGTTCTCCCTCCATTTTTGTAAAAAATTATTGATTGATTTGAGAGAAACAATGACCCCTTTGTTCCACCCACCCATGCATTCATTCACTAGTTGCTTCTTACATGTGCCCTGACTGGAGATTGGGCTGGCAACCTTGGCGTACAGGGATGACATTCTAACCAACTGAGCACCTTACCAGGGCTCCTTCCCTTTTGATAAACTGAAAACTTAGAGCAGAATCATCCAGTGGAAGGATTTCAGACCAACGGCAGACCTCTGGGCCAAGAGCTTCCTGTTGTTCCAGATCAGGAGCAGGGCTGCAGGAGGTGAGGACTACCGAGCTGGAGTGGCCCCTCCACACACAGGAAGCCACTGACTTTGGAAGACTACCCAGTTACGGTGAGTAACTTTCCCTCATGTTTGTCTTTTGAAGAGTACAGGAATATACAAAATAAAGAATCAAGACCATGGTAGGAAAGGTAAATTCCAAAAAGTGCAGCTAATTGCTAGCAAAGCCATCAAAACTTCTTATTCAAGTACCTTTACCAACTAGAGAGTTATTTCATCAAGAAGAAGGCAAATGATAGACCAAAAGATTCTGAGGTTCAGACAGGAGTATGTATAACTTACTTATAAAAGAAGGGAATAAAACAGGAAAAAAAACGGGCTTTCAAAATAAAGCCACTGCCTAGTGATTGGGCAAGTCACTATAAACACATGCACACTGTCAACCACTGGGGTCAGAGCAAAAAGGAAAGGATTTAAATTAAAGGGGGGCAGACTTAAGTCAAGCTTAAAGGAAAACTTCCTGATCAGATTGCTAAGCACCTAAAGGAGGTAGCTGAATCTACCTCCTAACAAGACAAAGCTGCAGGCTGTTACTGTGCTGCTTATACAGGAGGAAATATGCAGACAAAGAAACATACCCAGAGGAAAGAGATGCTGACAAAAAGAACCAAGCTATAAGTAAATTAAATATTAATATTTAAACTAAATATGCAAAATGTTTACTGTAATGATCATCAACTTAATTTAACCTTTTACCACCACTAATGCTTGGCACTGCCAGGATTATTCATCCAAAGCTCACAATTCAGGAAAGTTGAGTGAACTCATTCAGGAAGCGCTACCAGCTCTCAGGTCACTGGAAAGGACACTGTCTGCTGCTTCCTACTTTTATTTGACGGACCCCAACCGAGGCTCTTCTAAAAGCCGGTACTGTCTTTGGTACCAGGCAGCAACCAGAGTCTGTCTGGTCTTCAAGGGCTCCTGGTCTAGGGTAGGAGGCAGTCCAGTCAGTAAACCAAAAATTACAATTCAGGGTGATATAGCAATAAAGGACACAAAGCCCTAGCTGACTCTGTTCTTTTCTTAACAGAGGCTCTACTATAGGTTCAATGGTTTTCACACGCTCCCATTTCCAGGTCCTTAAGCACAGAGCTTTTCTTGGTCCTCACCTGTGCCATCAAACACTAAGCTCATCTCATTTGCAGCATTCTATGGCCATCTCTACCAAAAGTTGGGGATGGAGATACATCGGTTTAATATGCCACAACCAACTGGTATTTAATTGGATAAAAGAAGTCATCCGTACTGCTCAACAAACACTCTTTCATGCGTGGCCTTGGGCCGTGAGCTCGCAGGAGGCTGGCTGCCCTTCGGGCAGAGTGAGGATGCTGCCTGGGGGACCTGCCCACGGCGGGCTCAGGGCTAATCCTTCCCCTGCACCTGGCTGCGGGCTCTGCTGCCCCCATCTCAACATCACCTGCCGCCCCTTTTCATCCCTGAGCCACTAAGAACAATCATTATCATCCCATCAACAAAGAAACCATTATGGGCCACTAATTTATTTGTAAATATTTCAAAATATATTTCAATGCTGTACTGTCAAAGCATGATGAACGAATCAGGCCAAGTTTTAATAAACAGTAACACCAAGCATCTCTACTGAGCAAAGAGCTTCAACAGGGCCTGGCTTGACCCCAAGGCAAGAGACACTTTTTTAATTAAAAAAGAAAAAGAAAACAGGTTTGGAATAATCATCGCCAAATGTGCATTTAAAATGAGCCTAGCCCTAGCGGCTTGTTTAAAAAAAAAAAAAAAATCCTTCAGAGGATTTCCAAATATTCAGCGTTCCAGCAATTTCTGAAAGGAAGGGTGAGCCTCTGGTCCTGTAACTGCGCCTCCAAAATGTCACCCCAGGTTTTCAGTAAGAATCGTCAGGGGGAAAGGGCGACCCGCCGGGGTTCCAAGTTGCGAGAGAAGCCCCGAGGATGGGGATCTGGACCAGTTCCGTCCCGGTGAGGACCGGCCGAGGGGAGGGGGCTTGAGAAGCGAACAAGGACTCACGCTCCGGACCCGGTCCACCACCCGGAGGCGCGGACGCCCGGCCCCACGGCAGTAACTGCAACTTCCCAGCCCGGGCCCCACGGGTCACGTGCCGCGGGCGCCCCCTCCCCCCGCGGACCGGGGGCGGGAGGGAGACGCGGCCTCCGGCGGCACTTTCCTGGCCGCGGCCGGCTTAGCCGACCCTCAGCTCGGCCTCCGCGCCAGAAACACGCGAGGGTGGCGGGGTCTGAATGACCATCACCTCGGGCAGCGGCCGAGGCACCCGAGTTTTTCGGAGTCTTCCCGTCCCCCCTCCCGGTCCCCGCCGGCTCGCGCCCCAGCCCATCCCGCGAGCCCGTCCCGCCACGGCGCCGGCGGGGCCGCGTCTACGTGACGGCGGCGGGCAGTGTGGGGCGCCGGCTGGGGCGGCGAGGCCCGCAGGGCAGCCCTGCGCGAGCCGGAGCCCCCAACCACCTCCGAGCGCAGGGACACGACGCGCGCCGCGGGGCGGACGGAGGCGCGAGGACCACGACCCGGCACCCGCTTACCTGCGGCGGGTGGGCTCCCGGCCCGCGCCGGCACCCGCGGACAG